AATAACAATAATAATAATAGTAATAATAATAATAATAATAATAATAATAATAAAAGACTTTAAAGAAATTAAAGAAGTCTTTAATGCAACTTTCCCAGGTAGTTTCAGTTAGTTACAAAGATTTTAAGTAGAACTTTTCTATATTTGTGAATTGTTGATTTTTTTTTTGTTTCATTTGAAGCAAAGTTGACTTGTATTTCATCGGTTTTCTTTAAACACGAAAGAAAATTGAAATTAACAGAAATTTATCACTTACATTAATAAAATATTTTTATTTTATTATTTTTATTTAAAAATCAATAAATTAAAATACAATGACAATAATTTAATATTAACTCTTAATAAAATGAAAAATTAAAGAAGTTACGCCTCCCAATAAAAGGAAAAGATGTTTAGGCCCTTTACAAATTGTCTTCCGCTAAGGATTAGAATAAGAAAATTAGTAATTATAATAATAATAAAAAAAAGACTCCAAAAGAAATTAAAGAAGTCTTTGATGAAACTTCCTCTGTAGTTTCAATTGGTCACGTAAGTCTTTGATGGTTCAATTTTTTTATTCAATTGAAGTAAAGTTGTTTGATCGTGAAACTTCATATTTCCTTGTTATATTGATCTTTTTTCTTCTGTGTTGCTGCCTTACCTTACTCTTGCAACTTTCTCCTCAAACAGTTTCCATTGAAGCAATCAAGCATCATCGTCTTCTATCATTATCTCCACATCTTCCAGCTAGCTAAACTACCAAATCCTTTGTTTGATTTCTGCCTTATTGCTCTTCTTTTTATAACTCAAGAAAAAAATTTTGGTGCTCTTTTAATTTCCTTGATTTTCTACTTTACTTCAATAACTAAAAAAAGGGTTTTTTTTTTTTTTTGCTTTTATTGATTTCTAATTTTCTGTTCTTTTAACAGGGAAATAGAAAAAAAAAAAACTGGTCCTTGATTTTCCTTTACAGATCCATACAGCTTTTGAAGATCCATCTCAAGTGAGGTATGCTTCAATAAACCATTTATATATAAATTTTATTCTTCATAATTTTTGCTGTGCTCAACTTCTGTCTGGTTTGCCTCGATTAGTCTTCGATTTTCACTTTTACTTGTTTACGAATTTACTTAAAATAAAAAATAATAAAATATTTATTTTAAAAATTTTAAAATAATTGCTATCTCTTAAAATACCTAAAAAGTATTATTAAACAAAAAATATTTCTATATAAATTAATAAAATATTAACATAAAAATAATTTCAAGGAAAATATAAAAGAATTGATATTTTAAAATGAAAGAATACAAAAATATTGATGTAAACATGTGAGATCTAGAAATAATAAAATTTATTTCAATTGACATAAAATTTGTGAGAAATATTGTAAATTTTAAAAAAAAGTTATGAAAATTTTAAAAGTAATAAAAGGTAAGAATAAGGCTTTGCTTGACATAGAAGATGAAAAGGGATAAGGATAAAACTTTTTAATTTAATAGTTAAATTACAAAATAAAAAAGTGGTTACAAATTTTAATTATTGAATTAATAAGTTTTCCATTATTGATCTTTTCCATCTTTAGTTTTAACCAAGCAAAATTTAAGTGTTGGAAAATATTATTTTAACATAAATAACTAGGTTACTAATGTAAAATTTAAATTAATTATTTTTCTAATTAATAGATATATAACATCGACGGCTAAATAAATACTATCAAGGCTAAAATGATAACATAAAAAGTTAATATTTTAAAATATATTTTAAAAATTATTAACGTAAATAGTTGAGAAGAATAATAAAATTTATGTTAGTGAGTTTAAAATAAGTTAAAAGTAACGTAATATCTTAAGATAAAATTATAAAAATTTAAAATATAATAAAAGGTAAGAATAAATGTAAAAAGATATTTTTTAACATAAATGATTAAGTTATTATGTAAAATATAAATTAATTATTATTCATGTAAATAATTTTAGGCCAATGACTAAATATTACTTAAAGTAAAAAAAGACGGTGTTAAAAAATTAGTGTTTGAAAATTAAAAAAAAATATTAATGTAAACAAGTGTGAGAAATTATAAAATTAGTATAATTTAAAATGGGTTAGAAGTGTTATAACATCAAAAGACAAAGTTATAAAAATTTTAACATAAATAATTAAGAAAAAAAAAGTATAAGAAGATATTAATTTAACATAAATAATAAAGAATAAGTACAAAAATTTAAAATTAATTATTGTTCTTGTAAATATTTTAGGCCATCACTAAAAAATATTTTAAAGACTAAAAAATAAAAGACAATGTTAAAAATTAATATTTGAAAATAAATAATCTTTAAAAAATATATATTAACACAACATGTGAGAGAAATAATAAAATGCCTATCATTTGTAGTAAAATGAGTTAAAATCATTGTAACACCCTAATAAAGAATTATGAAAATTTTAAGTATAATGAGAAGGTAAGAGTAAGCGTAAGAAAATATTATTTTGACATAAATAATTCAGTTGGCATTGTAAAATTTAAATTAATTATTTTTAGGTCATGGCTAAAAAAATATTTTAAAGGCTAAAAAGAAAGATAACTTTAAAAATTAATATCTAAAAATAAAAAATTTCAAAAAAAAATTTATTAGCATGAATAGGTGAGAAGAACAATTAAATTTGCTTCATTTGGCGTAAAATATGTTAGAAATGTTGTAACATACTAAGAAAGAGGTATGAAAATTTTAAATGTAATAGAAGTCAAGAATAAATGTTAAAAGGGGAGAGCAATATTAAATTCATATCAATTAATGTAAAATAAGTTATAAATATTACGTAAAACTAAGAAAAATTATGAAAATTTTAGATGTAAAGGTAAGAATAAAAGTAAATAGGTGAGATTAACAATAAAATTTGTATCAATTTGTCTAAAATGGATTAGAAGTATCTTAATGCTATAAGAAAGAGTTATGAAAATTTTAAACATAATAGAATATAAGAATAAGTGGAAGAATATATTATTTTATAGTAAATAATTAATTATCTTGACAACTTAACATTTAAATAATTATTTCTCTTATAAATATATTTATGCTAGTGGCTAAAAAATACTTTAAAGGCAGAAAAAGGAAAGTCAATTTTAAAATTTAATATTAAAAAATAAAAAATTATTAATGTAAACATGTTAAAAGAATGGTAAAATTCATATAATTTGACATAAAATGGATTGAAAATGCCTTAACATTTTAAGAAAAAAGTTATGAAAATTTTAAATGTAAAAAAAAAAAGATAAAAATAAATGTAAAAAGCTACGAGTAATAATACAATTTGGAGTAGAATAGGTTAAAAATGTTATAATACCTTAAAGAAGAGTTATGAAAATTTTAAATGTAATGTAAGGCAAGAATAAATATAAACAGGTGAGAGTAATAATGAAATTTGTATTATTGATGTAAAATTGATTAAAAGTTTCATATTGCTTTAAGAAAAAAGTTATTAAAATTCTAAATGCAATTGATGATAAGACCAAACTTAAGATGATATTATTTTAACATAAATAATTAAAGTTACATATGTAAAATTTAAATTAATTATTTTTGTAAATATTTTTAGACTAATGACTAAAAAATACTTTAAAGAATGACAAAGAATATACAATGTTAAAAAATTAATATTTGAAAATATATATTTTTTTAAATTATGTAAATAAACATGTGAGAAGAGTAATAAAATTCGCATCATTTGATATAAAATAGTTTAGAAGTGTTGTAACACTTTAAGAAAAGTTATAAAAATTTTAAATGTAATAAAATGTAAGAATAAGTGAAAGAAAATATTATTTTATTATAAATAATTAAGTTGATAACGTAAAATATAAATTAATTAATTTTTTCTATAAATATATGGTTAATGGCTAAACTACTTTAAAGACTAAAAAAGAAAAGACAATGTTAAAAATTAATATTTGAAAATAAAAAAAACTTTTAAAATAATTGTTAATGTAAACATGTGAGAGAAATAATAAAATTCATATAATTTTATGTAAAATGGATAAAAAGTATTGTAACATCATAAGAAAAAACTATGTAAATTTTAAACATAATGGAAGGTAAGAGTAAACATAAAAATGTGAGAGTAATAATAAAATTTGATTCAGTTAATATAAAATAGATTAGAAGTATTGTAACACCCTATTAAAAAGTTATGAAAGTTTTAAACATTATGGAATGCAAAAATACACTTAAATAGGTGAGAGTAATAATAAACTTTGTATGAATCGGTGTATAATAAGTTAGAAGTATTGTAACACTCCAAGAAGAGGCCAAAAAAATTATGAAACAAGTAAGAATAAATGTAAAAAATATTATTTTAATATAAATAATTAAGTTTTCAATGTAAAATTTAAAATTAATTATTTTTTCATAAATTTCTAGGCCATGGCTAAAAATACTTTAAAGGCTAAAATGTTAATGTTACAAAATTAATACAAAAAATTAAAAATTTAAAATAACATAAGTAGAAATGTCATAACATCATAATAAATATTTATAAAAATTTTAAATGTAATGAACTAAAAATAAGTAAATTTTGAGAATAATAATAAAAATTCCCTATCACATAGGTAAAAGGAGCTGAAACAATATTTTTTTTCAAAAAAAATTATAGTTGTAAATAGGTGAGAAGATAAAAAAATTTCATATCTATTATAAAAATTTAGAAGTGTCATAACATCTTAATAACGAGTTACGAAAAAATTTTTAAAATATAATTAGAGAAAAATAAACATAAACATGTAAGAGTAATAAATCAGTATTAATTGAATAAATATGTTAAAAGTGTCGTAAATAGCTTAAAAAAGGGCTTTAAAAGTTTTTAAACGTACGAAGATATAAAGAGTAGACATTAGATAATAATTATTTAACATAAATAATTTAAAGTTAGTAATGGTAAAAATTTAATTAAATATTTTCCCTAGTAAAATTTTATGGTTAATGGCTAAAAAATATTTTTAAGTCTAAAAAGTAAAATGTTACCAATTAATATTTGAAAATAAAAATAAACTTATTTAAAAAATAATAATAACATAAACAGACGAAAGAGATAATAAAATTAATATCATTTGATATAAAAGGCATTAGAAGTGTCATAACGTGAGTTATGAAAATTCTAAATATAACGAAAAGTAAGAATAAAGTAGGCAATATAAAATTTAAATTAATTGTTTTCCAATAAATAAATAAGATAAAAGGTTAAAAAAATACTTTTAAGGATAAAAAAAGTAAAAGGATTGATATTTTAATATTAAAAATATCATAAAAAGTATTAACTTAAACAGGTAAGAGGAATAATAAAGACATTAACTTAAATAATGTTGCTGTATCTTTTTTGCTTTCTTTGCTTTCAACTTTCTTTTTCATTTTTAATGATAAAAAAGTACTGTATTATTTTGTTTCATGATATATCTATTTTGATTTGCTTTTAGCTCCAAAGAAAGAAAAAAATAATTTCATGTTCTTATAATTTTATTGTTGTTGATTTTTTTACCCTTTCTTTTTAAATTTCTATTTAGGCTGGTCCTTAATTTTCCCTTCCTAATGATCTCTGGAGTTGGTGATGTAAAACGTCCACATACCTTAATTTAGAAGATCCATTCCCTGTTAGGTAAGCTTAAATAATATATATTTTTTATTTTCCATAATTTGTTATTTGCTCCAAAGTTCTTTACTTGTTTCTTCGTATTTAAATAAAAACTGCATTTATAAGGAAAAAAAATGAAATAAATGGATTTATTTAAAAATTGAGAAAATATTAGATAGATTAATGATCAAAATATATACTGCCTTTGCTCTTAACACATGTAACATATATTCTTATTATACACATGAACACTGAATAATTTCTACCATTTGCAGAATTTTCAATTTCAAAGTTGATCCAACAACAATTTGTTCTCTTCTACTTCACAATTTTCCGATCCCAAAGTAATTAAGGTACTTTGCAAACATTCACACTTACTTTTTGTCTCTCTAGTTATTAATATGCTTTCTAATAATTAAAGTTGTTTTTCAACCTCAGATCAACAAAGAATGGCTGCTGAATTTGCTGCCTCTACCGCTGCCAATGCTGTAGGAAACCTCACAGCAGAATATGCATCACCTTATGTTAGCTACTTTTTCCGATTTGGGAAAATTGCTATAGAATTCAATATTAAGCGAAAAGATCTTCAATCGAAAAAAAAATGGGATAAAACATGATATCGATGAGGCTATAAGGCAAACTGAGGTCATTGAGGAGGACGTCCAGGACTGGGTAGAAAGGGCAGGGAAAGAACTGAAAGAAACCCAGAGTTTGGAAGCTGAAATAGAACGTATGAAGTGTTTCAATTGGTGCCCAAGCTGGGGTTGGCGATATTGCTTAAGTATGAAAGTGGCAAAGAAGACGAACTCTATCAATAAACTTGTTGAGAGTTGTAACTTTCCACGGGTGGGCTACTGTCCTCCTCTCCAGGGGATAGAATTCTTCCCATTTGAGGATTTCATGCCTTCTAAATCTTCAAATTCAACTTTCAATGACATCATCAAGGCTCTAAACACTAATGGTGTGAACATGATTGGATTGTATGGAATGCCAGGGGTGGGCAAAACAACTTTGGCAAAAGAAGTAGGGAAGCATGCTAAAGAACAAAAACTCTTTGATAATGTTGTGATGGTTACAATTTCCCAAACTCCAGACATCATCAGAATTCAAGATAAAATTGCAGAATTATTAGGTTTGAATTTTAAAGCAAGGACGGAAGAAGGAAAAGCAGAAGAGTTATGGCCGAGATTGAAAGTCGTTGAGAAGATCCTCATAATTATTGATGATGTTTGGAATGCATTTAAATTGCAGACTGTAGGTATTTCATTCGGTGTAGAACATGAGGGTTGCAAAATTCTCCTGACTACGCGCTTTCAACAAGTCTGTGATAAAATGAATTGTAAAGAGAAATTTCAACTCTACATCTTATCTGAAGATGAAGCATGGGCTTTATTCAAATATAATGCGGGTCTAAAATATGTTTCTTCGACATTAAATGATGTAGCCAAGGAGGTTGCTCGTGAATGTAAGGGTTTGCCTCTTGCAATTGTATCAATCGCAAAAGCTCTAAATGGTGCAGATCTAAATGGGTGTAAGCAGCAAATCAGCGATTCAAGGACTCAAGACTTTTAGACAATGAAGATGTTTGTGAAGGTTTGTACAACCGCCTCAAGCTTAGTTATGATTATTTGAAGGGAGACAATATTCGATCATGTTTCTTGTTGTGTTCCCTTTTTCCTGAAGACTTGCATATTAGTGTTGAGTGGTTGATTATGTTCGGAATTGGTTATGGATTATTTTCTGATGTTTATTCAATTCAAGACTTCCTGACTGAAATTTGTGACACACTAAGGAAACTTCAAAAGTCTGATTTGTTATTGACAGTTAATGATCGTGTACATGCTTATCATAATGAAATCTATGTAAGCATGCATGACGTGGTTCGTGACTTTGCTCATTGGATAACATTGAGAGAGAAAAATATATTCATGGTAAAAGAGGGGTTAACGGGATGGCCTACAAGTGAAAGTTGTGGATGTTGTACAACAATCTCCTTTTGGAACAGCAATATAAACAAATTTCCCGATAAATTGGAATTTTCAGAGCTCAAAATTTTGGTTTTTGCAAGAAAGAATTTAGTGAGAATTCCGAGTGCAGTTGTTAAAGGAATGAAGGCCCTTCGAGTTTTACATCTCAAAAATGTCAGTTTTTCACTGGAAGTACTTAAATTCATAACAGATCTTCGAACTTTGTGCTTTGTAAATTGCGAGCTCGAGAACATCTCATTATTGAGAAATATGGAAACCCTTGAGATTCTTGCATTTTCTGATACTAATATTTATGAGTTACCTGAAGAATTAGTGGCATTGCATAGACTAAAATCGCTACATTTTTCTCACTTTGGAAGCAAACAGATAAATTTTCCCCCTAATTTGCTATCAAGGTAATAGTAGATGTCAATTTTTTTTTATCATATTGCACAAAATTAAGTATTTAGTTTTATGTTATTTATTTTTCTTTTATTCACTTTATTAAGTAATTTGCTTTTAGACTATGGGAAACATATCTTTTGGTCAATCCCATTATTATGAAGCATTCGAAGCTGTAGCCCTTTCTTTTTTTTTAAGAAAAGGTGCTGAGGAATGAGGATATTTTTGTCTGAGATAATTAAAATTAATTTATGTTTACTTCTATTTTTATTATTCACTTGAAGTATTTGATAATAGTTTTTTGTATTTGTGTGTAACAAACAGGTAAACATCACTTCAAGAGCTACACGTGACTTCTGAAAACAGTGTTAATTTATCAGAGTTGAATTCATTGTCTCAATTGACTGCGCTGTCATTGAGAGTTACTACTGCTCAATTTTTTCCAGAAAACTTTGTGTTCCCTAAACTACAAAGCTACATTATAGCTGTAAATGAAGATCTTCAATTTATGCAGGGGCTAAAATTGAGAACCGTGAACATCGGACGTTTCTCAAATTCATTAAGTGCATTCAAGGAATTGTTTTAAAATGTGGAAAAGTTGAATCTGGAGGATGTCAAGGGACACAAAAATATTGTCCCAAACGTAGACCCAAAGGGCCTTAATGAATTAACTTCTCTTGAAGTTGGAGAATGCGATGATATGGAATGCTTGATGGATATAACAAGAGAGAAAGAAAAAACCACTGCATTCTCTAATTTGGTGAAATTAAGAATGGAGGACATGACTTGTTTGAAAGAGTTGTGCCGTGGGCCGCCTCCGATTAGGTTCTTACAAAAGTTAAAAGATGTGACCATTCGAGATTGTAAGCGGTTGAAAGTGGTATTTGAAATGAATGGGCTTCTTGAAAAGGAAGAAATTAATCAGACGCCACTACTCTTAAATTTAGCAAGCTTGCATCTATGCCTTTTACCAGAATTGGAGAGTATATGGAAATTACAATCAACCCATCAATATCATGCAAGCCTCCAAAGTCTAAAGGTTGGAAACATTTCAAGGTGCGGTGAATTGAAAGCCATCTTCCCGCCTTGCCTTGCTAAAAGTTTGTTGCATCTACAAGAACTCTCTATACATGACTGTAATGGATTAGAGCAAATCATTAATTTTCCCCAAGAAATGGGTGAACTTGAGGTACTTGTTCTCTCTCCATTTCTCCTTTAATGAATAATGAAAAATTACTAAACTTTATATATTGATCATATAGCTAACTTCTGTTGAAGTTTAAAAGAAATAAAGTTTAATTAAATTATATTAGTAACTAAACTAAATTTACACTCATTACATGGCTTGCAAGTTGAAAAAACTAACACTATATACCCTTATTAACACACTTAATAAAATCTTTGTATTTTTTTCTCTTTTTTATTCTTTATGTAAAAATATATTATCCAATAACTACTATTATTGCCTTTGTATGTAATGTTTTGTCCATATTTATTTGCATTTTCAATCAATGAATTCGTGTCAGGTACGACCACTCTCTAATTTAACTTCTTGGAGCTAAAGTCATCCCCAGAACTAAAGTGGATATGGAAAGGGCCCACCCATCTCTTTCTGACTCCCCTTTGCTCAAAGTTTGGTGCATCTAGAAGAAGTCGAAATAAAAGATTGCGGCTCTTTGGAACATGTAATCTTCGGAGAAGTAGAAAATGAGGTCTTCAATATGACAAAGGATAAGGGTGGACGTCCACCACAAGACATTGTGCTACAGGAATTGCAAATTTTTAGATTTAAAAATTTAGAGAAGTTGAGTAGTTTTTGTCTAGAAAATTTTTTCATGTCATTTTCTTTGAAGGAGTTTGAAAATTTGAAATTATACTTGTAGACATCTAATTTTATTTGAGTTTTTATATTAAAATTATTAATTATAATAGTAACTAATAGTAATAAAAAATATAATAATAATAATAACTATATTTTTTTAAAAAAAATTTAAACAAAAAATATAATAAAAAAAGGAAAACAAAAAGTGGTAGAAAGTAGGGCGGTTGATACTTACCACCAGCCACCCTGCAACCACCTACAGCCTCCTTTAGCTCGACCAGCCACCCTCTACACCTTACCCAACCACTCCCTATAGCTACCCCTCCAAACACCATCAGTTCTCCTTTTGAAGCTCCTTAAAAACCCCTTAGCTTATTCCCCAAAACCTTTCTCTCGAACACACCTTTGGATACCCAGCTCTCGAACACAAATGCCCAAAACCTTCTAGTCCCTACATGAACCATACCCACACTAGCAACCTAGAACCCCTCAACTCCACCACCAGACACTTTCTCTCGGATAGACTTGAACAAATGTAGAAAATCCCAATTCTCACACTCAAAAAAACAACTCCAGTTCTCACACTCAACAAACCCTCAACTACAAAATCCCTACCCATCATAAAGCACAAAAAAAAAAAACCACAGTCCTCACTGAATTGGTGAGGAACCCAGCTCCAAGCTACCTGCAAAAAAAAAAATTAGAATCAATTTTGGTTAAAAAAAAAAAGAGAAAACACCGAAGCTTCGAAGCTTGATCTATATAGATCAAGACTATTCTTAACAAAAAGGAGACCAAATCTGGGCTCAGGGGGAAAAGAAGAGTCTTATAATGTTTTTTCTAGTTTTTCAGTGCTGATGATCAACGGTCAGTGGTAACGCACGATGGCCAACGTGACCGTCGGTGATCAACTTTTGGAAGTCGGCCAACCTTCCATTTTTGGTTGAGAGGAAAAAAAAAGAGTTTTTTTTCTAAAAAAGGAGAGAAATGAGCTAAAAAAAAGAGCCTTTTAAATAGAAAGTTAAAGTCTAAAATGACATCGTTTAGGCCAAAAAGGATCTGCGCGTGGACCCAGATCTGACCTGGGATCCGCGCAACCCGACCCGTTGACCCGTTCTTTCAAAAACTACTGATCGATCTAATTGAACCAGTCTGAACCAGACCAAACCATGACCGATCGTCCAAACCGCTAACCAAACCGTCGAATTGGTCAGACCGGTCCAGACCAGCGTTGATCGGTCTGATTTAGTTTTTTTTTTTACTTTATCTTTTTAAAACATTTTATTATATATTATTTTTTTATTTTATATTTTAATTCGATAATTTTTAAATTTTTTAGAATAATATTTAATTGTTTTAATAATACAATAATGAAAGCAAGTAGTTTAATTCAAAAAATATTATATTAAATAATAATAATAATAATTAAAAATATATAAAAATTGAATAATATTTTTATTTTTCTGCCAAGATGTTGGAGGAATAAAATATACCTTTAAAAAAATTTGCTATATGTTGAAATTATTTATAAAAATTTTATATCAAATATTGTATAATAATAATATAATAATACATATTTAATAATAATAAAATTTAAAAATAATTATAATTTTCAAAAAGAAAAGTATACATTTTCTATTAATTTGAAAATTTAAAATTGAACTTGCTCAAAAGTCTGCCTATTTAATTTCAAAATGTTCATGTTTTTTAAAAGAAATTAAAAAATCTAAACCTTAAACCCTAAAATCCAAACCTTTAAATTAAAACCCTAAAATCCAAACCCCAAAACTTTCGAAACCTAAACCTAAAATTTTAAAACATTAAAAATCCAAACCCTTAAATCCAAATCCTAAAATCTAAAACCTTAAAATCCAAAATTCTAAAAACCTCAAATTCAGTATGCATTCCCGAATCATTACCAAAAAATCATTTAAACTTTAAAACCTCGACTCATACCCAAGTTAAAAACCATAAAAAAAAAAATTCTAAGGACACGTATGAAAATTTCACTTGAAGTAATTTATTCTCGAATGCCGCCTAGATGATGGGGTGTTTAAGAAACTTTATTTCATTAAGCTTTTCATACCTGTCCTTAATTCATCTTAATAATGGAATTAAAACTTTAATAAAAAGAATAATAGTAAATTAGGATCTTAAATATAAACAGTCGCACCTAAGTTCTGCCTAGATGTTAAAGAGTCAAGGTGGTCTTATTATATTTAAGAATCTATTTTTTAAAATTGCATTTTATCATTACATGGATCACTATATTATTGTTGACACTCATTTCATATTTCTCTGTCCTTAATTTTTATTTATTACTTGACAATTCCATTACTTACTTTCTCTTATAAAATATTTTACAAGACAAAAATATATATATTTTTAAAGTTGTGATGTTATAAAATAAAATAAAAATAACATTCCAAAGGAAATAATTCTTGGTATTCTGCCTAGATATTGGAGAGTCACCAATAATTATCTTTCACAAAGAGTGTTATTTTTTATTTTAAAGAATATGTGTTAAGTCTTAAGCCAAAAGAGTTATTTTAAATTCTGCTAAGATGTTGGAGAATTTTAAGATAATTCTTTAACTTAAAGATTTCTTCAATATTCCTAAAAAAAAATTTTAACCAAAATTTATTTTTTTTAAAGTGAAGGGAATTGGTGTTAAATTTCAAATTGAAACCATTTTTATCCAACACTGAAAAATAGCGCGTAATTAAATGGTAACAATTTATGGGTGTTGTGAGGGTGCTAATCCTTTTCAACATATAACTGATTCTCGAACCCAACCTGATTTTTCATAGACCAAAATTTATCTTTTTGATAAACTTTAAACCCACTTTTATAGTTTTATTAAAAAGATAAACTTTTGGATGGCCAATCACACCTTAACAAAGATTAGTGGTGACTCCCTTTTATTTTTCCCGATTATAAAACACTTTATGTCTGACGGTCACAAAATCGTTACGAAAGCTTGGCCACTCCATTGGAAAGCTTTGAGAGTCAGGCCAAAATTTTAATTATGTGCTATTAATAGTTATTGGATTTAATTGGTTTTATTCGATATTTAATGTAATTCCTTTTATTTTAAAATTTCAAAATATATATACATACAAGTTAATAAATAAAATAAATTGTATGTTAGTTACTACTTTATTTTGATTTTGTGCTTATGATCTATTTATGTTATTTTAATTAATATATCTCTTTGCATACATTTTGCATATTCATTCATAAGTATGAGCTCTAGACCTGAGCTCTATTCCTTTTAGGAGGAATTGAAGTAGCTACGCTCTCGTGAGGTGATAACTTTTGCATTTACTAGTGAAACACTTCCACTCAGATTAAACCCTTTTCGTTAGTAGCCTATAATTGGTGAGGATTGGGGAGCCTTACTAGTCTATAACGGACGATGATGTGAGGAATAATCTGGAAACTTTAAGATGTATAAATCCTAACCCAGCATATCATGAGCCATAAGGAAGCTTGCATAGGATAGAGCTTTACCAACCTTTTTGTAGAAATAACCAAAAATTTTATTAAAATTTAAAAAATAGATAATAAAAGAAAAGCATTTTCTTGAAAAAATAAATTTTCTCTTAACATGTAGTTTATTCATTTGGTAATTATCCAAAATTTACATTTTCATAAAAATATTTTAGAATAAATTTTTTTTAGCATTATCCAATAAAAAAAAGAAGCAAAATGAAAAAGCAAAAAAGGTTTTTAAAATAAAATTAAAGATTTTTCTTAAATTTTTTGTTTATTGACCAAATAAAAAATAATTTTCAAGTCATAGTTATTTTATTTTTCCTTTTCAATTTTTTTTTTGTATTTTGTTTCATCTTTTGCATTTCATAAATCATAATAAATAATACATGTATTCTATCCCATGCACATTATAATAGGATAATATGAGCATTCCATCCCATCCATATCAATAGATAGTGCATGCATCCCATGTTATGCACATATTGATAAATTATACATGCATTCCATATGCATTTTAATAGGTAGTGCGCACATTCTATTTGATTACATATTTGAAGGTAATGTCAGTTCATTAGGATGACATAAGACAAGCATTGCATTTCATGTAAAAATATAATGAGCACTTGATAGGTTCATGCATTCCATACAAGTATGTTGCAGTATTTGTAAGTATACATCTCATCATTCATGTAAGTATGTCTTTGCATTTCATGCATATGGATTCATGAATAGTAGGATTTTAAGGAACATACATTGCATTTCATGTCCCACCATCCCTGTAACATAACATTACATTCCTTGCATACACATCCATGGTTGACGAAAATTTTCATTTGGGCCTTTACATATATTAAAATTCATTGCCTTAAGCATATATGTATTTCAGGACATTCATTAGGCATCATTGTCACATTCATGAACATGCTATGTATGTCATGTAAGTTAAAAATTATTTTGTAGCATTCATTCAATAAGGGTAATAATCTAGAATTTTTTTTGTCTAAGTCTCAGAATAAAATGTCTGTCTTGGTAAAAATTAGAATGACAAAAATGAAAGATCGATTGGAAGCAAAGATTAGTGCTTTAGAGTTAGATTAAGAAGAAATATGGCTCGAGCTTCGAGAGATGAAATAACAGATGGCTCAATTGATGGAAATGGTTAAAAGTAGTGTTAGAGTTGAGTTTATTCCTCCTCAAGGATCGTTGTCACTTTCGATTCCATCAAATCAAAATCAACTAGCTCCTACTAGTTCTAGCACTTTTCCAGAGCATACTAAGGTATTGGATGATTTGAACAGTGATTAAGATTTGGGTGAACTCAAAAAAGGAAGGGGTGAACTAGCCATGCAAATGACTGAGCTCAAAAGTTTGATTTTTAAGAATGAGTCACCTGGTTTCAAACAACCTTCACCAATTATTCTGAGTCCAAACCCAAATCCTTCTTATGACCACTTCTAACCTCATTTTCAAGCACATAGGATTAGACCCCTAAATTTCATGTAACCTCAAAGAATTTCACACCTGAATGCACTTCCACCATTTTCCACAATCACTTGTTTAGTAGGCCATCCCATCACCATTTTTGCAGCCTAATCTTCGACCCAAACTTTTTAATTTACTTCAAAACCAATTATACCACCATCTTTTCAGCAACACAAACCAACCCTAGGGCAGAAAAACTCTGGCAACACCAAAGAAAAAATCATTAATGATCCAATACCTACGTCCTACACAAAGTTATACCCATTACTTCTACAAAACTACCTTATTGCCCCTATCTCTGCTGAACCTCGTAAACCACCTTTCTCCAAATGGTATGACCCTAATGCCTGATGTGAATATCATTTTGATATTATAGGCCATTCTTTGAAAGACTGTACGGCTTTGAAACATAGGGTGTAAGGATTGATAAAAGCTGGATATCTAGGTTTTGACACCAAAATGAAGCCAATTGTTCACAAGAACCCTTCATTGATCCATGCCACTATAGCAGATAGTGCTATAAGCAACAATAAGGTTGGCCATAATGATGAATAAAATGTAAAAGTTTTTAAAGAAAAGGGTTATCCTCCATAGCAATCATAGTCAACTATTTTTGGGTTTCTTACGTGAGATAAGGGAGATTGAAGTAGGTCTAGCACTTTTTAGCCCTAGCTCTAGAATGGCTAATGATGTGTAAACTTGATACTTTTGAGAATGAATGGACATTTCTTTTGACCCAAATTTTTTATGAATTGATGCCTCTATCCATTTTTAATAATTGTATGTCTAAAAAAGCCTGTGAAAAATCGATGATTGCGAGTATGTCTTCACCAAACTTTTGAGGTGGAAAAAATGTTTGTAAGAGGGTATTTGAGCTTGTCCTTAACAACAATAAAATTTGACTTGCACATCATGCATCATCTGTTTGAATTCATTATTTTTCATGCTAGTTAAGGCAAAGAATGATGATTGTGAATATGCTTTTGTTAAACCTTCAAAGTCACAAAATTTTTTATAATAAAATTCATGTCATGCATTTCTAACTTTTGATAATTAATAAAAGGTTCAAAGATAGCTATCACAGGAAACGAGATCAGTTAAGTCTGCACATTTATAGCACTCGAGACAGTATCAGAACCATGGAAAATGAAGATGCAAGTCAAATGGACAAAGTAAAAAAGACTCAAGGAAAGATCAGGGAAACAGTTACAAAAATGCAACAGAATGTGAACGGACAACTGAAAAAATTAAAACAGATGATAGTATAATTGACAAAAAAAAGAATTGTTGAAACGTACAGGATAAGGGAGGAAACAGCTGTTAAGACATTGTATCCATCTAGGTTCATATATGCTCAAGATCCCTATGTGTCGCAAGCACCTCTAATAACTCATCAACCTTATATTGGCCCTTCTGCCAAGTTGCCATCAGTTCAGACAAATGTCAATCTCGAGTGCACTCTTAACGACTCCACTACTGTGCCTAATGTGGATGATCCTAAAGAATTAAAAAAATTAAAAAGAGTGCTAAATCCATCAAGAGATATAGTGATGAAGGATAAATTTGATATGTTAAAAGAAATATTGAAGGTAATTGAAGGCCATGATGTGTACAGGAATGTCGACACCAATGAACTTAGTATAGTGCCTGATCTTGTTATTCCATCAAAATTTAAAGCCCCAGATTTGGAGAAATATGATGAAATGAAATGTCTTTTAACACACATCACCATGTACTATCGAAAGATGACAGGCCACACTCATGATGATAAGTTATTGATCTATTGCTTTTAGGATAGTCTCACTGGATCTGTGATAAGATGGTATGCTAAATTGGACTGAAATAAGATTTGTTCCTAGAATGATTTAGCTAGGGCCTTCCTAGCACAATATAAGCATGTTGAACACATGGTGCTAGATAGGATGTCCCTGCAGAATGTGAAAAAAAAGGTCAACTGAAACTTTCAAAAAGTATGTACACAGATGGAGAGACATAACAGTCAAAGTACAACCACCCTTGTTAGAGAAAGAGATTGTTGTTTTGTTTGTCATTTCCTTGAACACTCCTTATTATAAAAAAATGATTGGGAATGTCTCCAAAAAATTTTTGATATGGTGATTTCTGGTGAGATTATAGAAAATACAATAAAAAATGGCAAGATTAAGTTAAAAGATACGACAGATGTTAAAGAGAAAAGTACATCATAAAAGAATAAAAGAGAGGTGCAAGCAGCCATAATGAAGGGGCATCTACCTAATAACTTTATCACGTACAATCATTATCCTGTTTATCAACCTCATCATCCTATCATAGGCTATATCTCTCCAAACCCATATATTTGCCAACCAAGCCAGCATTTGGGCTTTCCAACAAATTCTCATCCTCAAATGGCCATTCATGATCTTATTCATACATTTGAACCCACCACCTGACCAACAAAGAATCAAAAGACACCAAGGAATGATCAAGAGAAATTACCCATCCCTATTTTTCACCTTTTACGTTTGCTAATAGAAGGTCGGGTATCTCACTCATGTGCCTTTAAAAATAACATCATATCCATTAGTAAGGAGTTATAATCCCAATAGCAAGTGTGATTACCATATTGGGATAATTGGCCACTTAACTGAAAAATACAAACAGTTGAAAAAAAGGTTGAAGATCTTATCAAGAATGGTATTTTAACTCCAGAGGTAATAGAACAATGAAGTTGATGACTACACCCAATTGCCAAATGTGAGGGGTTAAGATGAATAGAGAGGTCTCAAATTTTAAAAAATCAAGATAGGATAATTTTCTTTTAAATCTTTTCACTATTTATGTATGACAGGTGCATGGTGTCCCTATGAGTTATCTAACTTATTTGGAAAGAACTTAATATTTTGGATCCCTTTCATGAAATTTTCTCTTTATGCATTTGTTTGAATAAAAAGTCCCACATAAGTAACTTTCAAGATTTAAAAAAAAAAAAAGTTTTCTTCCATAATAAGGATGGAAGGATTTTTGAATGAATCGATGATTACTATTAGGAAAAAACTGAAAAAATACCTTTACACTTTTTTGAATACTTTCAGGTCCCTAATCACCTAAATGATTTGACCGATCGACCATAATCCTTTTAAAGAATGTGAGTTTGAATTTATACTTTAAAGAGGTGATAATATTTTCTTAGGCAACGAGTAAAATAGGTCAATTTTAAAAATTTATTTTTTCAAAAAAATAAATCATTAAGATGATCTTTCAAAATTTCAATTGATAATTCAATGTGTTTCAAATTTTGCTATGACCATAGACATAAAAATGCCTAAACTTTTCTTCTCAAGCAACCCTTGTTTCCTGTTTTAAGGCACATTAATTAAAAAAAATTAGAATCCCTTTTGCCTAAGACAATTTGTTTCATACCTTTATACCTTTTCTCTTCCTTTCACCAAAAAAAGGCTAGAAAAATTTTGGAGCCTAAAAAGCCTTTTTGAACTATAGGAGCGATCTTATATGACTTAATCGTCATTAGAACCTTGAGTGAAAAAACAAGATAGGGTATAAAAAAACAAAAAAATAAAAAAAAAGAAAAGAAAAAGGGATATCTTCAATGATTTTCTCTTTTAACCAGGTGATCATGTTTGAAATGATGAATGGCCAGGTGATCATGTTTGAAATGATGAATGGCCATCTTTCTCTATCCTTCTCATATATAAAAATTATCCACTTGCTACCCATTTGAGCCTATTAAATTTTTTTTCTCAAAACAAACCCTAGCCAAGGATTATTTTTTACATTGAGGGCAAAATTAGGATATTTTCAAGGATCAACCTCAAGAAAAGTGTTCAATATTGAAAGCGTCCAACATACCCCTCAAAAATAAAAGTTTGGGATAAAAAGGGAATAAGACTTTGGAGATAAGAATATGAAGTTGGGTATTTCTAAGAAAAAGCAAAAAAACTTTGGAGATAAGAATATGAAGCTTCAATTAGAATTAAAAAAATAAAAAAAATAAAAAAAAGAAAAAATATGTACCTTAAAAATGAGAATTCATGGCAAAAAGAAATGGGGTGAATAAAGTTGCTGAAATTAAAGCCAAATTTTTTTTAAAAAAAAGCAAAGGAAGAAAGTCAGAGAATGCTCCTCAATATCCTTGGCCTAATTACCTTGAATAATATATTTTGAGCCTATTTATCCGGTCTTTCAGAACCTTTAACCTCAGCCTACATTACACACCTTGAAAAGCCCATTTTGATCAAATGAGGACATTTGGATTGAAGAGCAATGTCCTTGAATTTGTATGTTCTTGTTGAATTCTTCATTGATAGAAAATATAGCTCTAAAGTGAAAACTCCAAAAGGGCAGTTTAGAGCTAAAGTCATTTTTTAGGCCCCAAAATGAATTTTAGAGTTCCAAGGTTCTATCTGAAATAAAAAATTTTAATGCAAAGCCTTTTGAAAAAATAGTACTCATTAATGACCTTTCATTTAAAAAAAAAAAAGAAAACCAGCCTTGTCATCTTCCCAAATCTTATTTGGAAAGTAATGGCTAGTTTTGACTCACATTGAAGTATCACATTTTCAATAAAAGAAAAATGTTTTAAAAAAATTATCTCTTTCGTGAGCCCAAGAGAAATTCTTGCAAGCCTCATCTAGTTTTCCATGAGATATGCTTACCAGTGAAAAGAGTTAAATTATCAATTATCCCATTCACAAGTATTCCAAATAGTAGTCATCAATTTCCAAGGATTCGAAAGTCTTGAGTTTTAAATTTTTTCATTTGATTACAAAGATACCTTATGTGGGGTAATTTTTTTATCGCTTTTGAAATTTTAAGGATTATTTAAGTATTTTATACGTAATACTAAGATCATTTGTTTCATGAAAATGAAACATTGAAAATTTGAACAAAAATTTTTCAAAAAAAAGGGGGGGCAAAAAGAGTCTTTGTATTTGCTTGCACCATGAAAAAGACATCGACCTACAAATAAAAAAAATAAAAAGAGACATTCATATTTGCATCACTTATTTGTGCATCACTTGTTTGTGCATCATAAAATGGATATTTGCATTTGTATCACTTGCATCTATATTACAAGAAAAATATTCGCATTTGCATCACTTGCATTTGCACTTGTATAAGACATTTGCATTTGCACCATAAGAAAAATTTGCTTTTGCATCATGACATCTGCATCCTAAAAAAAGGTATTTGCATTTACATGAAAAGAACATTGTCATTTGCATTATGAAAAAGTCAAATGTGTTTGCATCAAGCATTTGCATTCTTGCATTGGCATTGACATTTGCATTGACATTTCCATTAGCATCATTTGATGAGAATAGACATTTGTATCATGATCAACTTTGTAAGTATTAAAAACAAAAAAAAAAGAAATATGAAAAAAAAAAGGGGCATGTTTTTAAAGTTTTAAAGCCTATGTTTAAGAGGAACCATTTTGAATCAAGATTTCAAAGCCTCTGTTTAAAAGGAACCTTCTTCAAACAAGACCTTTAAAGTCTAAAACATATCTGATCATGCAAAAGTCATTTTTTAAAGTTTCATTGCCTCTGATTAGGAGAAGCATTCAAAGATTTTGAGATTTTTAAGACTTATGGGCATAATCTCTAAAGCCTTCTGGCATAACTTTCAAGACCTCTGGGTAAAAAATTTTTAAATTTTTAAAGTTCATTGTCTCTGATTATGAGGAGTATTCAAAGAATTTGAATTTGTAAGACCTCCGGGTGTAATCTCTAAAGCTTTTGGGCACAACTTTCAAGATTTTGGGTAAAAGATTTTTATATTTTCAAAGTTCACAAACCTCTAATTAGAAGAGCATTCAAAGATGTTGATTTTTAAGACCTCCAGATATAATTTCGATTTGCTGTGTTGTCTCGATTGATTTTTAATTTTTTGATTTGTAGTGTTTTCCCAATCGATTCTGTAAGACCTCCGGGCATGATTTTTAATTTTTTCGGGCATAACATTTAAGATGTCCGAGCATAATTTCAATTCGTAGTATTATCCCAATTGATTCTTTATTTTTTAACTTGTGGTGTTGTCCCAATCAATTTTGTAAGACCTTCAGGCATGATTTATAAGTCCCTAGGCATAATCTTTAAGACCTCAGGGCATAATTTTTTGACTTGCTATGTTGCCCAGTTGATTCTGGAAGACCTCTAGACATGATTTTTAAGTCCTCCGGGCATAACTTTTAAGACCTTCGAACATGATTTTTAAGTCCTTCGGGCATGATTTCTAAGACCTCAAAGCATAATTTTGATTCATGGTGTTGTCTCGATTGATTCCTTATTTTTTAACTTACGGTGTTATCCCAGTCAATTTTATAAGACCTTCGGACATAATTTTTAAGACCTCCGAGCATAATCTCTAAGATCTCCAGGCATGATTTTTAGGACTTTTGGGCCTAATTTTGATTTACGGTGTTGTCACGATCAATTCTTTATTTTTTGACTTGCGATGTTATCCTAGTTGATTCTGTAAGACCTCTGAGCATAATTTTTAAGGCCTCCGAGCATAATCTCTAAGACCTCCAAGCATGATTTTTAAAACCTCCGGGCATAATTTTGATTCGCAGTATTGTCTCGATCGATTTCTTATTTTTCAACTTACGGTGTTTGTCTCAGTCGATTCTGTAAGACCTTCCGGCATAACCTTTATGACCTCCAAGCATAATTTGGGTTCGCAGTATTGTCTCAACCGATTCTTTATTTTTTACTTGTAATGTTGTCCCAATTGAATCTGTAAAACCTCCAGGCATGATTTCTAAGTCCCCCGGGCATAATCTTTAAGA